AAAATCCCACAATCTAAAATTGACGAGATGATTCTCAAAGGATCAACGAACTCCACGAAGCGAAAGGAAGATCTACTAGATATTAATAAAAGTATAAATATATCAATTCATGTGAATATGACTGAAAAATTTCATTTTTTCTGAAAAGGTGGTGTCTATTTACTTATGACCACGCTGTGTACATTGCTGACAACACGTTTCCCTAAATCCAACGCTCATCAGGCCGGTTGGTACACAACAAACGCAGAAGTAGCCGAAGGACGATTTATAAAAGCCATTTGTTACAACAACGACTGTTATAATGTGGACTCTTTTTCATACTTTGCTTTATTTTGCTGTGTTAATATGACATATCTTACTATTTGAGCTAAAGCAGAATTTTCGCGTTTTTTTGTGACAGTAACCCAAGACACGGGTAGTCATTATTGTCTAGCTTGACCCCTAAACGGAAGCAACTCATACAGGGAAGTATAAATCAATCAGTTTAGTCATTCCTTAGGGCTCTGGTCTATTAGAAGTGGAATTATTCTGTACAATATAATATATAATATTGAAAACAGTGCGTGATATATACTCATACAGAAAACTAGTATGCAGATCAGGGTATTGCTAATACTACACACCTTACCAACTTGATTACCTGGGATTGGAAAGCGGTTGACAATGTGTGAGAAATAATGTAAGCATCTGTGGCACCAGATGATACTTTGGTTCTGAACTGAGCTATACGAAATTAACTCTGGTAACGAGAGTGACTGGATGGAGGGAAGGATAATATTTCTTTTTATTAATCGATGTTCTTTCTCATTCACCGCTTGCTTGGTAGGCTTTCAATAAAAAAAATGATTTCAAACTAAAAAGAAGTAGGTATCTGCCTCACGCTAAGTAATAGTAGATTGAATTCATTGTTCTATGCAGCTATGACTGGGATTAGTATATATTATTGTGATGTTTTTGTTTTTTTTTCGTTTGGTGGGTTCTTTTGAATTATTTGGTGACAAAAATGCGTAGTCCAGTTCACGTAACGATATCAAATTAATTCATTTCTTCAGTAATGCGTGTTACAGGCTACTTTCACTTGTACGTAGTTGTAGGCCTAAGCTCACAAATAACGATTTTTTACTTTTAACAGCAATTCTAAGACTATGGAAAGTACGCTAACATATTTAGTTTTGATTAATACACAAACAAACAAACATGTAATTCACCGACTAACTACATAGCAGAATTTCTTTTCTAGATCGATTTAGTTAACAGACTTCAAACATTGAATATACGCCTTAATTAACACTGATCTAAATCATTCACTGCACAAATGAATACTTTACTTTGATACTCACATTAAATCATTGTTTACTAGTATTTATAGCTAATGTACTCATGTTTAGATATTACTTTTATTATTAGGTCAAATTACTAGATTCTTTACGTTATCGTGAATTTTCTAGGTATTCTAGACCCACATCTATGAAAAAATTTATCTTAACGTCGTACGCCGTCTAGTAAAAATCAAAACAATGAAAATATAGATTACAACAATATTAAAATTTGCGAGAGATTAAATAAGGATTCGTTAGCCGTGGTCGCTAGTTGTTCACGTTTTAAGCACTCAATCCAGTTAACTTTTTGGAGATGTTTCCCTTAATAGTGAAATACGGGTTATTTTGAAAGTAATTTTAAATCCGATTTTACACTTTTCACAACATAACTTTGCTAAAGTGTGCATACTGAACTCTTATCTTTACATTCATATCAAAAGTGAATACTTGTACCAATATTTTTATTGCTGCACAAAGATTGGGAGTACTGAATTTTTTTGAAATTTCTGGAAAACTTCAAGTGGTTCTAGAATCAAATATTTGACATTTTTAATTCTGAAGAATAGTATTGGTGTTTTGTTTTCATGTCCAACCTGATAAGGTTATTTGCTACCGTCCCGCATTTTGAACTACTGCGGTGAGTAGTTCTTTAAAGTACGGGAAATATTCTGTGACATCGCACGGGTTCGAACCCAGATCGCCCATTTCGAAATCCAGAGCTCTACCAGAGGGCTACCCGCACTCGTGTAATAGAGTAATGTATATTTTATGCAAACTACGTAACGGAAAATACTACGGTAGTTTTGTTTCTTTTCCTCATTTATTTTAGCTGCAATACTACCGATTTGTTTGACAATTCCTTAAATATTTTCCCGTTGTTTTATTCAAATATTTTATTTTGCGAATTAAATAAATTTGCCTGAAAAGTATTTAAATTGGCGAGAAACTAACACCCCGCCAATAGCTATGTAATTCCTCAAAAGTTCTGTGCCGTATGTAAACGAGATTTGGTATGATTGGTGTGGTGACTGATGTGCAGCTAATCAGGCACAAGTTGATGCCGGTCTTTTATATGGCAAGTGTTTCATCGCGCACCCTGCAGTTTCACAATTATGTACCATAGCTCTTTTTTTTCTTTCTTTTCAACACAAGGCTGATCTAGCGGTAAGCTGCACGCGGCGTTACGTTACCCAGGCAACGTGATGCGACTTGAAGCATTGCAAGCGTTAGCAAACAAGAAGACAGCTGATGTGACCAGATTTCTTACATACAAGTCTATATATATATCATGCTATTAGATACTGTGTAGGATAAAATTGATATAACTCAGCGTCCTTGTCTCTAATATCAAATTCACGTGCTTATTCATCCGTTAATAAACAGTTTCTGTTATTCAAACCTTCTGTCTAGTTGGTCAGAAATAAAAGTTTTATTATAACGATCTTTACTTATTAAAAAATAATAATAATAAAGACTACCGGTGGGTCAGCTGTATGTATATCTACTTATAATGCTAAAATCAGTGGTTCGATTCTCCGCAATTGATAGAGTGCAGATAGCCCATTGCCTGCGTAGCTCTGCGCTAAAACAATAACAATAATGGCTCAGCGGTAAGTTTGAGGACTTATAACGCTCAAATTCGTTGTTCGAACTCCACACTGTAGCTTTGCTCTTAAAACAAATAATACGGGCTTGCGAATTTAAACTTCATAAAAGTTGTTTTGGTCTAAATAACGGATTTTCCATAACACAGCTACGCAGATTTCGAAAATATTTCTACCGGGAGAGGGAGTTCTTTTTATGTATGAATTTTAGACTAAAATACCCATTCTAATAAAAATTAGTAGGGAAATTGAGAATCTGATAAATGAAAAGCGTCAGATTTTCAAGGAAATGAAATTTAGTGGTGGAATGTAGGAAGCTGCTCAAGTACACAACAACAACAACGAAACATATTAAAAGTGACATTATTAAATAAGCTATAAACTGCTAGATTCTGGTCGGACAGCAGACCAACAAGCATTAGCAAGGGTTTTCATGTAAACATTAAATAAGGGTTAAGGAAATAATGAGTGTTCGAAAGATGGCAGTATGTACATTATTATGACAGAAAATTTATGGCGGAAATATTTTCCAATTTTATTACGATTTTGTAAAGACTAAAGTGGAAAAGACATTACTTATAATTAACAAGATTTTAGGGATGAAGAGAAATACTGTTTTGAATAATAAAAAAAGAAAAATACGAAAGTGAATCTCTCAATGACGAGATTTATCTTTAAACTTAAAAGGATTGTTTCAGCGCAAAAGTACACGAATATTCAAACAAACAAACACAATTTCAAACGTACAACAATGCCTTTTCCATTATTCTGCTGTCCACACCCCTCTGGCGCTTAATAATCTAATATCAATGAATATTTTAATCAATAAATGATACGAGAAGTAAAGCGATTGAAATTCGGTGATAGCTACGGTTACCATTACTTGAAACTTCATGGCTTGACTGCCGATAATGCAAAAAATCTATCATGCACCTTGGAGCCATGGGTGTGCTATAAGAGTAACACTATTCGGCCAGAAAAAGAGTAACCAAAGAGTTGTTAAGGTGTTGTTGTTCTATTTACTTTCCCTCTAGTTATCGGTTCAACAGTTCAAACAGTTATGCGCGGATAATCCTTGCGTAGGTTTGCGCGAAAATCTGAAACGAGCAAACATGGCAAAGACTTAGATAAATATTTTGAAGTAGATCTGCTAGCTGGTTCTCGATAGATGATAAAGAATATCCAATCCCATAGTTTTTCTTGATCCATTGAACTTTTTTGCTAGTTCTTTATCCGCTTCAGTTTTCAAAATGATTAAAAACAACATGGCCTGGCATGGTTAGGGCGCTCGACTCACAATCTGAGGGTCGCGGGTTCGAATTCCCGTTCCATCAAACATGCTCGCCCTTTCAGCCGTGGGGGCGTTATAATGTGACAGTCAATCTCACTATTCGTTGGTAAAAGAGTAGCCCAAGAGTTGGGCTCCTCTAGTTTTTCACTGCTAAATTAGGGAAGGCTAGCGCAGATAACCTTCGTGTAGCTTTACGCGAAATTCAAAACAAACCCCAAACAACATACAACCTGTGCACAAGAAAAGTTTGCTTAAGTGGCGAGAGTACACGTTTGAAAAATCGCTCATACAGTACCTCAATCAACTCCTGCCATCTTCTCTCCTGGCTCAAACTGATCAAATCCTTCGGATCAAACAACTAATAACACAGGCAAGCCATGGACAGTAGACTCACAACTCACCACCACGACCAAAGACTCCCCGTGGAGCAGCTTCGCTCAAGTCCTCTTCATCATGAAGAAGGGCTAGAAGGAAGAAAATACAATACCAGTGACTTTTACCATTAAAACCGGTAAGTCTAACGTAGGTGGCAAACCTAGTTTAGTTACGAAAAATGAACAAGCAAATATAAAATAACTATGTCAGCAAGTAAAAATACAATACTGTAATTTAACCAAAAAGAAGAAAAACTGAAGAGGGTAAAAGCAACTCTTCAAATGTAAGTGTTCATTCTAATATTGAAGGTAATGAAATAACCGAAAATAATAAATGTAGTGGTACACTCCAAAACTTAACTCAAGAAGTAAGCGAAAAAACTAGGGGAGAAACACCCCAAACAAACTCTAAAACAGAATGTCCAAAGCAAAAAACAACAAAAGAAGACAAATATAACACAAACAGCAACAAATACAGAAACGAACAACATACAAACTTTCAATTATACTAACGGGAGTACCAGGTTCATACACGACACCCCAAATTGCAGCGGAGATCCGCCGTTGCAAACCAACATAGCAACAGTCAAACGCTAATTCAGGGCGCTGATCCAAAAATCATTTAACACCTTACTACAAGAGTGGCCCAAGGACGCCTTCAGTCCAAGGAAAATTCAAATTACACTACCAGGTGCCAAACTCCCAAACAAAGCAATAGTGATATGAGACATTAATATTAACACCAACATAGACATAAACGAAGAATTACGACAACAAAACATACAATTTAACAAAACAGAACGTATCTTATCGGCAAGGACACAGAAACCTACAAACCTCATAAAGGTCACATTACACGAAAACATCATTGACCTAATTAAAAACGGGGTCATACTGTGGTACCAAAGATACACAGTGGAGGAGGCGAAAACACCGGCAGTCATAGTAACGCAATGTTTCAATTGCCAGAGATACGGGCACGTGTCAGTGGCCTGTAAAGCACAACCACGTTGTGTAGGCTGTGGCGGAAGGAACATTTAGCATCACAATGTAAGAAAGAGAATAAAACCCCAAGTGCTGTGTCTGTAACGAAGCACACACAGCCAACTATAAAGGATGTCAAAAATATATACAGATAAAACAAAAAAATTCAATATTAAAAACAATAAACACACAACCAACTGACACACAAAACAAACCTCCTCCACAAACACAAGCCATAAAACAAAGTGATACTAAAACATACGCAGCAGCGACAAGAACAGATACAGAGAACGAAGAAAGTGTACCAACTATAACAAACGATACATCCAACACAAATACTGAAACCGCTATAGACTGGTTTAATAAGAGAGAGTGCACGGTTGTTTGTCTCCTCGATTTAGAGAAGACCTTTGATACAATCTGGCGCTCAGGTCTAAGGTTCCGGATGTTAGAGATGGAACTACCACGAGGAATTATTTGCTGGTCGTCAAACTTCCTAGAAAATGAAAAATGTCGGGTAAATGTCGAGGGCACCTACTCTGAGTATTTTACTCCAGAGGCATGGGGTACCTCAAGGAGGGGTAGTTAGCCCCACATTCTTCATCATGTATGTAAATGACATGCCACTAGACGACCCAAATTTTTGTTTCATTTCACGATTTGCAGATGATGTAGCTATCTTGAAGAGTTCCGCAACACCACCCATAGTTGCTACAAACCTACAACCTTCACTAAGTGCCATCGCCGAATACTGTTCCAAGAAACGAATAAAATTAATATACCTAAAACACAGATCCTAGTACTCGCAAAATTAAATAAACTAATCAAAATCACCCCCAAATTATATTTAAACGGAACACTCCTCCAGACAGCTACATCAGCAAAATTTCTTGGTCTTACATATGATACAAAATTAATCTGGCAAAAACATATAAATGGAATATCAAATAAAATCTGGCAAAGACTAAATCAAGTTAGAAGTCTGTCAAGAAATAATACAGGAACAACACCAAGAAATATATTAAAAATATACAAACAATACATACCACCGGTTATAGAATATGCTTGTCCAGCCTGGATTAATGTTGCACCCACCAAAATTAAAACTAAACTACAAAAACAACAAAATGGAATATCAAATAAAATCTGGCAAAGACTAAATCAAGTTAGAAGTCTGTCAGAAAATAATACAGGAACAACACCAAGAAATATATTAAAAATATACAAACAATACATACCACCGGTTATAGAATATGCTTGTCCAGCCTGGATTAATGTTGCACCCACCAAAATTAAAACTAAACTACAAAAACAACAAAATGCAATACTCACTACCGCATACAAAGTTACCCGCTCAACAAATTCTTATTTCTTATAGGAACACACAAACTTGCAACCCCTCCATGACAGACTTCTAATCAGATCATTCACCTATTTCAAGAAAAATCTACATAAAAACAAAACGTTACGCACACTGGATAATTATATAATACATGATGGAAATGAGCCTAAGTACCTCTCACCCATAAATATGTACTATAAGTTTAGTAATATGCCACCTATTGTTAGATCTACCTAAATTATCATTATGTAGTTTATAGTATAGTGTATTAAAAGGGTATTTATGTAAATACACATAAAATGAGCCACATTATGAAAGGCATTGGAATACATGGACTTCAAATTAGCAGCTATATCCCAGTGTAAATAATGAACGTTTGAACATAATTGGACATGGCCCTGATAGGGGAATTGAATTCATATGATAATCACTCATGACAGCAATACCCTCTTTTAATGTCGCGTACAACATTTTACAGTGTATAAAAATGCCGAGAAATCAAAATGCTGTAAATTAAAACAACACCTAAGCCGAGGGGGAAACAGCACCTACGATGCGGAAGGAAGAGGTCTAGATTGCACTTCATCCTCCCAGGTCCAAACAAGGACCTAAATCTTGATAAAGAATAAACAACCTGTGCACAGCACCTAAATCCCGATGAAGCAGAACAGCGAACGAAGAAACCCTCTTTTATGTCGCGTTCAACATTTGACAGTGGACAAAAATGCCGAGAAATCAGATGCTGAGGTAGAAATTTCACCCATGATGCAGGAGGAAGAGGTTTAGATTGCACTTGACCCTCACAGGTCCAAACAAGGACCTAAATCCCTGTGCACAAGACTGTGTAAGTCGATTATAAGTAACAATCAGCAAGTGAACCAAGATCTTGACGGTGGACATTTATTTGACCTCTTTCCAAAGAAGTGACTACAAAACCAAGGTATCGTTACAGTAAGTTGAGTAGTTGTGTTTCTCGAATATTGCCAGATTTTCTCTAAAACTTATAGCATGGATAAGTTAAAGGTAAAAAAAAAAATACTCAACTGGGTTTTTACCATCACGCTCAAGGTTTATTGAGCAACCTTAAACCCCCTCTCTTAAAATTGATTTGTCTCTATCAATATACAATATTCTTAGAAAAGTTATTATAAATGTTTCTCAATTATTGCAACCCGTGTATTACTTTGCTTTGTTTTTTTACTATTGTTGTTATGACAAATTGTGTATTATTCTTCATGTACTTTCACTACAATAATGTTTTTAAATTCAATTTTTATTACCTGACATATCACCTAAAGACAACTCAAAGAGAGAAGTTGAAAGCTTACCCAATATATATTGAAAGAAGAAAAGATACAGACTGCGTAATTATAATTTTATATCATTTCCAAACCTTACTTCATAATTTTTAAATTGATTTTGTTTCTTTTTTTTAACATAGAACTTGCATAATTTTCGGGCCTTCTAATGTCTGGATCCTGAGGAAATTGCCTCATTGCTTCATCTCTGTTGCTAGGTGTCGTTCAGAAAATCGTATTGAAAAGTGAAATTTAATAATTCAAGAATGTCGATGATTTCAGAAAGAGGTTTTCTTGTATAATGTACTAGAATTATTTAATAAGCCTCCTGCTTCGTTGAACTAAAATGTATTTTAATTTCGAGATAGAAATGGAATAAGCTGTTATATGAAAATAATGTTGTGATTATGAAGTAAAATGTTATTTTGATAAACTTCTAGTTGTTATAACTACTGTTCTTCGTTCTGGGATTTACTGGCAAAAACTGCAAATGTGAAATTAAAAGAGTTTTATTATTTCACATAGAAAATGATTGCAACACCACTCAACATCTTGCAGGAATGTCTATTTTTGCATTTACTTAATCATAGTAATAATTGCTTTATCATTCGCAATTTCTTGTGAAGCAAGTAATTTTATCTGCCAAGGTTAACACACAAAAGTCGTCCACTAGCAACTATGCTGTTGCAAAATAAGCTTCTATAAAACACTTATAGCAATTCATTTGAGTTTGGTGTTCAGTTTTACTGTAGATGTTATACCTCACCTGCATACGTCAGATTATGAGTTATGTGAATGCTAGTGCTGGATGAATGGGGACCGAGAAATGGCTCAGATAACAACAGATAAATGAATTGAATAAATACTTTTCTTTTTTTAATGAAAGGTAATCACCAAGCAAAGCAAAATGAATAAAAGATCGACTACTAACTTAAGTTATAAAATTGGGTTGCTCCTTACTCTTCATTAATTCAGAAATACCACTAACTCTATAAGCCAAGAACTAAAACTCTAGCAAACAAATAAGTCTAAAGCTAAACTTTATGTTAAAATCCGAAAGTAACACTGCTTCCCCATCTTTGTACATTGTTCCTTATGTTGTTTTGCCTAATGGTTTTAATAGGATTTAGTGGTTTTTGAATTGTGTTATTACGTTTTTCAAGAAGTTTTCACAGTGTATTGAAATCTTGAACTTGATGAATCAAATAGCCTTACCCAAAGGAAGCAGTTCATTCTCAGCACAATGAGTAGATTCTCTTTAATTTGGCACGAAGGGAAAATCCTGATAAAGTTAAGCAGCCAAGGTTTTTTAAAAATAAATGTAATATACAAATAGGTTTTCGCTTTGGCAACATTAAAAACTTGAAAGCTAGTTAACAACCTTATCAGGTAGATAGAACGGTGGTTTGACAGGTTGATAAATTTAGTTCTGATAAAAGTTACCCTAACCTCCACAATGATTCCGTTCCAATGATAGGCGTCGAGTTACATTAAGAATGAATGTGATATTCTTAGGTGCACTGATTTCCCTGCAAATATTTGAGTAGGAACCACAGAATAACGGAAGGTTCGCCAGAAAAGAGATTATGGAGCAAAACCTGAGACCTCTTAACCTAGATTGTGTTTGGAGCAAATAAATAGACTAGTCGCAATGAAACAATCTTTATTTCTAATTCTCACAAACAATAATCAAAGTTTTTCAGAATATGTGTATTTATGTGGTTTTATTGGCGTGTTCTTAGTGTGATTGAATTTTGCAATAACCAAAGTAATGTTTCACTCAATCATCGTGTTCCATACATTATATAGGAAGAACAACAGTGCCATTCTTCTCAGTTGCAGACGCCAACCATGACTAATAGTCACCCTCACTATACAACAAAGGTTTTTTACATCCCTGAACATCGCCTTCCTTTGCACTGGAAAAGATCACCCTCGATTATTATACAGTAATATTTCCACAAAAAATGTACATGTGATATCCTAGTTAACTAGGAAGGAAGAAGCTTACTAGCTTCCTTAACCAACTTTCTAAAAATACGTGCTCAATATATACTGAAGTGTTGAAAATTTTTATATATTTACTAAGAGGGTAGTAAGCTTGTATATCACACCAGTTTTAGACTCAGGGTTATAGTCTTTCCTAACTTAGCTATCAAAAAACCTCTTCTCCCCCACATAGATTCCAGAAGCAAAGAAACAATCGGGAAAGTATTCATATTTCCTCTTAGCCAGTGAGGATACAGCAATAGTTCTTATACTTGCAAAAGGACATGACCACATCGAATATTGAGTCTAATTTACATAAAGACTTGCTAAACTTCTGTAACTAAAACTTAAATCGAAACCTTTCATCGAATAAACTTTTAATTATCTGCCTGTATTATGTTTACATTATAAAATATACCAAAACTTTTGAATAACTCCAGTAGGTGGACGGTTAAAAATTTAGTAGAGATATATGTTGATTTATTAATCAATTATAATAATACTGTCTGTCACCAAGGAATAATTACCTATAAATTATTTTTCAATATGTAACAGAACATTTGATAAAAACTAAAGGCAATTAATTATGACAATGACAGGTTCAGTAGTTAGCCACATAATTTTTACTCTAATCAATGTAGATAAATAAAATTAATCCCCTAACTCATCAAAATTAACTTTGAATTCCTAACTCAACCAATGGCATACACAATTAATCTTACTGTTAAATGACTTAAAAAATATAATCTACTGGATTGTCTTCACACTTATTAACCATGCAGGGCCGTACCGTGGTAATGCCAGCGGTCAATTCACACAGGGCGCCAACTCAAAAGAGAACACCGATTGATTAAGAAAGCAAACTTATAGTTGCTTGCCTGCATGAAGGCAGCCCTTACAGGTGGGACAAACAGTTCCATATTATCTCTTGAATGTGCCTGCAAACAGTCGAAGCATATGTAGTTTCGGCTTGTTTACTAAGAATTCAGTGATTGGTTATTTTCAAAACTCAAGGCTGAACGACAAATTGAATGTATGCGCGATAATATATTTTTTTTTTCAAAATTATATTTTGTAATGTTTGTAACAGTATAGATAATGTATTGTAAATATTTCGAATAATAAGATAGTTTTTTGAGTTGGGGGGCGCCATACAACGGTTAAAGGGCCATACCGGTGGCGTATTTATGTAGTGTTCAAGTAGATTGACATCAAACACCGGTATGGCCCTTTAACCACGTATTTATGTAGCATTCAAGTAGATTGATTTCACCGGTATGGCCCTTTAACCACGTATTTATGTAGCGTTCAAGTAGATTGATTTCACCGGTATGGCCCTTTAACCACGTATTTATGTAGCATTCAAGTAGATTGATTTCACCGGTATGGCCCTTTAACCACGTATTTATGTAGCGTTCAAGTAGATTGATTTCACCGGTATGGCCCTTTAACCACGTATTTATGTAGTGTTCAAGTAGATTGATTTCAC